GGGAGCGCGGCGGGCGGGCGGCGAGGGGCGGGCGGCGGGCGGGCGGCGGGCGGCGGGCGGGCGGATCGGGGTTCGAGCAAAACTCTCGAGGATTCTCTCTTGAATACTGGGCGTAGCGTTGAATACTGGGCCTAGCGGGATGCTGTTGAATACTGGGCGTTGCGTTGGGGGCGGGGCCCGTTGGGTGCCGCATGTTGTGTCAGAGGTGCGCGTTGATGCATACTGCTGGTCATTGCGTCGAACGCGGAAGCACGGCGAACGGGCGGCGGGGGGCGGCTGGCGGGCGGGCGGCGAACGGGCGGGCGGCGGGCGGGCGGATCGGAACTTTAATAGAACTCCCAAGGTTTCTGCCGCGCAGCGGGATGCCGTTGAATGCTGGGTGGTTTGTTGAAGACGGGGGCTGTTGAGTACCCGGCGTTGCGTTGGAGTCGGATGCTGAAAAGCGTCTTGAGGGCCTCTTGTATCTCATTGGGAGCCTCTTGGGGCTTCCTGCGGGCCTCTGGGTGGAAGGCTCGGATGTCCGGTTCGTCTTGGGACCCTTTTGGGGCCGTCTTGGTGCCTTCTTGGGCCGTCTTGGGCGCCTCGGGCACCGTCTCGTGGCCCTCGTGGGCCGTCTTGGGGCCCTGTTAGAGGCCTCTTTGGCTATCTTGGAGTGGCCTTGGAGGCGTGGAGCGTCGGGGTGTCCAAAGGCTGAAACCTCGAACATCGATCAAAAACATATGGCACGACAACGGTTTGTGCCTCTCGGGGCCTTCGTGGGAGGCGTCTCGGGGCCTCTTCGCCCCCCTGGTGAGCTTCTTGGGGCCTCTTGGGGCCTGTTGAGGGCATCCCAGGGCTTCCTGAAAACTTCTCGGGGTGGAAAGCTTGGACGTTCGGTTCGCGTTGCCCCTCTTGGCTCCCTCTCGGGGCCGTCTTGGCGCCCTCTCGGGCCGTCTTGGCACCGTCTAAGGGGCCCCCTTGGGCCGTCTTGTGGCCGTCTCCGAAAAACCTGGGGCGTCTTGGAGCGGGCGCCGGGGCCTCTTGGGCCGTCGCGGGGTGCCGGGAAACTGAAAGGGCTGAGAACTGGAGCGCCCGTCCAAAGCCACAGGAAGCGCAGTGACGCGCGCCCCCGACGCTCCTCGGGAGGCACTTTCGTTGCACAGAAGCGCGCTGCCAGCAGAAAGAATACATAGCGAAGCGCAGCCAGCGCCAGGGAGGAGGGCGAGGAGCGGGGGGCCACCAGGTCGGGGGAAGCGCGGGAGATGGGGCGTGAACCTCTGCGCCCCAGTGCTGGTTCACGACCGCAGCCGAGAACAAGTCTGCGCCAACCGCCTACGCCACGGCAGACGCCGCGCCGCTGAACTCCCCCGCGTCTAACGCTGGGGTATAACAAACAATGGCTTATATTATGGCCTGCGACTGATGCTGATTGGCGATTTCGAGCTGCCGCTTAATCATCCAATTGGCTAGGTTCCAAGGAAAACAAGACTGCGGTGATCAGAACGGACGCTCGCAAATATGATTGGGCTTATCAGGATAACTCTCGTACCACTGATTGCAAGAAGCAGAACTTACACGACAGGACACGCCCTGGCGATTGAGGTTCATTCGTTTTGAATCGTCATCGGGTGTGCTGTGGGCGTGCGTGGTAATAGTCGTGCCGGACGGGGGGCTATTTTGTGGCTGACTCGGTAACTGCTTTGCCGCGAGGTGCGTCTGCTTCGCGACGGCTGTCATCTTGGCACTGTTCTGCAGCAGCCCTGTCTCGTCCTGCTCATACAGACATTGTCCTGCCAGACAGGCGCCCCCCGATTCACTTGCCACCACCAGCGCGGGCAGCAAAATGGCGAAATGGAACGCAATCTCTGGGCGCGCGAGAAGTCTAGCCTTCGCTCACCGAGCCAGACTTCTTATACGGGAAAGGTGTAATTTGTTCTGCTATGCGCGAGGCGCCTGCACTTCCAACTTCTTGAGCCAAAATGACTTGAACCAAAATGGCTACGGAGGCTCCTTGGGGGGCATCTTGGAAGCCTCTTGGGGCGTATGGGGGCCTCTGGGACAGTCTGCGCTAATTCTGGGGCAGTCTTGGGCCATCATTGGTCGTTTTCGCAGTCTGGAAGCGCCATTTCTGGCGATCCGGGGCCGTCTTTGGGCGATTTTAAAGAGCCCGTGGTGCCCCCGCGGGGGCACCTGGGCCCCCCGGTCCTCCCATGCGCTGTCGAGGGACCCGTCCCGGGCCCCCTCTGCCTCGTGCCCATATATATATATATATATAAATAAATATACACATACACATACACATACATATACATGTACATGTACATATACATATACACATACACACATATACACATGCATACACATACCCACATACACGCACGTACATACAATCACGCATACATACAAACAAACATACATGCAAACATGCACACACACACACACACCTCCATACATGCATACATCTATACGTAAATACAGAGAAAGTGAAAAGGGAGAGAAACAGAGAGAGAGAGAGAGAGAAAGAGACCTTGCCAGGGGCGATACCCGTATCTAGTGCGCGCGCGTGGCACGCGTGGTAATCGCATTGGCGTGAACTGTCCTCGTTCCTTGCCATCGCCCTGACGCCCATTCCCCGTGCATGTTTCGATTTCGTGAGTGTTCTTTGTTCTCGATGATCTCCTCGATGGTCCCCGCCGAGGAAAATTGCCTATGATCAGCGCGCGCGTGTGGACGTGGCACTATTCCACAAGCCTGTCCTGTAAACGCAGGCGATGCTGCGATTCTGACCTTAGGATGTCAGGCGTCCGCCCCCCCGCCAACTCCCCGTGAAAACTCTGCAGAAGGTTCCCGATGGGGCAACGTTGCAAGGCGAGGGGCTATCGCCCCTTACGCTACTGAACTCAGCATGTCTGACCCACAATGAGCAGCAGTTACGATTTTTGGGGAAAAAACTGCGATGGGAAATCACTCGGGTCTGGAACCGAACACTTCACAATCACTCTGCGTGTCAGCGGTAGTATGACAAGGTGGAGCACCTGGCGAGTAACTGAGTAGCGTTACCTGACGAGAATGACGTCCCCGCCGAAGCGGCCGGTAGGGGCTGGTACGGCCCAGTCTGCCTCGAGGACTCGTGTTCAAGAGTAATGGGTGGGCGCGCGCAAGCAGAAGAAGTGGCGGCGCGCACAAGGGAGAAGAAGTGGCGGCGCGCACAAGGAGAACAAGTGGCGCGCGTACGAAAGAGAAGGAGAAGTGGCGCCCATGAGGATGAGAAGGAGGAGAAGTGGCGGCGCGCACAAGAGAGCGTGGTGGCGACGGTGGCGGCCTTCTAAGAGGGCAGGGGCCCTCTTGGAAGTGTTGTGCAGCTTCTAGAGGCCTTCTGCAGAAAGCCGCCGCCCCACCCTCGCCCCGACCCAATTCGAAGCGCACCACATCGTCTCCCCCGGCCGGGTCTCTCCTGGGGTCTATCATGGCCCCATGGCTCCTGCCTGCGTATAGTGTCCCGAGCGTTGCCCAGCCGTGCCCACGAGATCCTCTGGGAGCACCCGCTCCCAGAAGCGGCGACGTCGAAGTCGTCGACATCGTCGACGTCGTCGACCCCGCCTCCCTGCGCGCGCGGCCGAGAAGGGGTGCGGCCCCACTGGTCTTTCGGCACGATCGAAGCGGGAACGCAAAGAAGGCGCCAAGACCGATAGCAAGTCCTGCTCCTTTCGGACAGGACTCGCTGTCGGTGTTCCCGCGGATGATGTCCGTTTGAGCCAGAACGCCGGCTGCCCAACAGCGGCCGCTGCCGGTGCTGGACAACATTTGCTCGTACCCTTTTCGAGCGCCACACTTCATGTGGCGAGGCGTGGCACGACGCAGCCCGGACCAGGCCTTCAGCCCGAGTCCTGTCCTGGCGGCCCGCGAGAGGCCTGGGAGCCCAACGACGGGGGAACACATCCAGGGCATTATATGTTCCTCCATGTCCTGGGGCAAAGAATCGGCGCGAGGACCCGACCAGGGAAAGCTTTGATCCGAATTTCGAGGCGGATCCAGACGCGGCGGCGCGGGGCCCACTGGATGCCACAAAAAAAAGAAACACGTTCCCGAAGATTTCAGAATCCTCGATTCTGAAGCCTGGGTCCTCGATTCTGGCATGTCGATCCTCCGGGACCCCCACACTCTCATCCAGGAGGAGGGAGGCGGAGGAGGATGGAAGAGAGGGAGGAGGGATGAAGATGGAGGAGGGATGAAGAGGGAAGCGGGTGGAGAAGAGGATGAACCAGGAACGATCAGGGGAGGAGGAGGAGTCTCACTAGAGTCTTGCCTGCCAGACCATGCTTCCGGAGAAAAAAATCGGAATTGATGTGGAAGCTTGAGGAAAGACAGGGACGGAAGAGGGACGAGGGATGAAGAGGGAAGAGGGCCCAGAGGGTCCTGATGATGCGGGCAGTCTGTCACCCCTCGCATGCTGGCGACGGAGGAGGGGCTCAGCCTATGCTGGCCTCCTCCTCACAAACAGTGTCGACTCTCTCACGCAAACGTTGAGTCCTCTCCCATTCCAACAGCGCCTACGGGCACTAACACAACTCAATTGGGCGAAGCCGGGAGGCGTCAAAACAAGGCATCCACACCAAGCCGGAGCTCCGCTCCGCAACCATGTCGGCCGAAGCGGATGACCCTACGGCCACGCTGCACTGACGGGGCCTCAGACAACTTTGATCTCAACCGATGGCCCCAGGGCCGATGGTGGCCCTTCCCAAAAGTGTAGCCAGAGAACACGCCACGGCGTAGCCTCGAAAAGGGACGAGGAGGGAGAGGAGGGGGACGAAGAGCGCGAAGGAGAGGAGGAGAAGGAACTGAGCAGGGGTCAAGAGGGAGGAGGGATGGAAGATGGAGGAGGAATGGAGGGATGAAGATGGACCAGGAGGGAGGAGAGGGGGGGTAGGAGGGGAGGCGTACGTCTAGGAAGGAAGGGGCCGATCTGAGCGGTGATCCTCGGTGGCGACCCCGGCCCGCGAAGACCCGGCCGCCCCCCCCGCCGTGACGGCGAGCAGCGCGGCGTCGCCAGCGACCCAGTAGTGCAGGATGTTCATGGGGCCGAACACGTCCTCATGGTTCGGCCACGCGCAGGAGTGGGGTGGGGGGAGGGGGGGATGCCTTCTTGGAAGCACCCCTGCTTCATAGGAGGTGCGAGCCTGGTCTAGAGATGCAAGGCCGGCGCCTTCTAGAAGCCCTCCCCCCTTCCCCTACCCCCTTGTGCGCGCCGCCAAACGGTAGAGACCCCCAAAAGACGTGCGCGCCCAACCGTGTACATGAACACGGCCCCCCGATCCGCGACACTGGCCGCATGATACGAGCGTTCGCGCAATGCGTACTCTCGCAACCAACGTGGATTCATGAACGCATACGTCCTTTTTTCGCTCCCGACAAGGGGACCTTGTCTGCAACGATAATTACAGAGTGCATGATTGATGCATCGACGATACATTATTGGTGACGATCCGGCGTTGTCGATTGCGTCATGGTTCTGTTGTCTGTGGCGCATCAAGGAAAAGACAATGTGGAAATCCAGGAGACGCAGCGCCCAAAGGACTCCATCAACTTCGAAGCGCTGCGCAACACAGTAAGTACCCAAGAGTTCGGTGTACTGGAACTGGAACTGCTCTCAGCCGGGATTGAAGGGGTAGTGCGTTCCAGTTCCAATTCCAGATTTCCAGCCGGGCGTGAGGAACTGGAACTATGGAACTGGAACTGTTACGGTTCTGGTTCCGGTACCAATTCGCCTCCAGCCAGGAGAGGGGCGGGTGCGTTCCAATTCCGGTTCTGGTTCTGGGTTTCCAGAGATCGGTGAACCGGAACTGGAGCTGGAACTGTTCCGGTTCCGGATCCGCTTCCGGTTCGCTTCCAGCCGGGAAAGGGGGGGGAGTGCGTTCTGGTTCTGGTTCCGGTTCCGTGTTTCCAGCCGGGCGTGAGGTCGGTGAACTGGAACTCGAATTGGAACTGGCGTATCGTTTTTCACTCCTTCTCCCTCGCGAGGTTCGGCGGCGAGCCCGGGGCGAAGTGAGAAGGAGAAGGCCTTCTCAGAAGGATCGGAAGTCCCCCTGGCCTTCCGAAAGGTTTTCTAAGTCTTCCCCGAAGGCACAGACAACTTCTCAGAAGGCGCGGGGGCTTCTGAGAAGCCCCGCCGCCTTCTGAGACTGAGAGGGCCTTCTCCTTCTCACTCCCCCCTGAGCGCGCCGCCGAATTCACTTTTCGGGCCATAACTCGGGTCTCCGGCGGCCGTTCGGGACGATCCGGGCATCCCCGAAACGCTGTCGGCGAGGCGCAGCCGCTGGAACGCATCCCGAGGCACGGAAACGGACAAGAAATTACGAAAACGTCCGAACACCTCGAATCCCGAACCTCGGACACATCGAAAACGCCGAACCTCGCTCGCCGCCGAGAGGTGGTGGCTTCCTCAGTCAGGCACCGCTTCCCGCCGTCCACCAGCAGCCCGATCACGTCGACGCCGAGCAGGGCGCCGCAGAGGCCAAGCCTAGGCTCGGGGCCGCGGCGGCGAGGATTTTTTCACACAACATCACCCGCAAAAGAAGTTAATACATCCTCTGGTTTGTATTCATCGTCGGAGGAGAGGCTGCAGGCGTATGTCGGGGGCGTCCAAGAGGTGTCCAAGAGGGGTGTGAAAATCATGGCCCGAGGCATGTGCGCGGACCGGGGGGGCCAGGGGAGATCTGGGGAGATATCATGGCCCCCGCCATGATTTCCACCCCTCCTAGTCATCACCCCCCCACGTTGCCCTGTACCTGACTAGGTAGGACAGCCGGCCTCGAGCTGATCCCCATCCCTGACATCGACAGGCCCAGAGGCGATGATAGTCTTGGGGGCACGCCATCAAAAGCCGAAGGAATCCCGAGGATCGGCATCGGGATGAGGCGATGCCAATCACATGGGTAGGGACATGTTTCGAGCTGGTAGGAGATGGGGAGTTGCTGCATCAGCCAGGATTGACGCGCTGCTCTGCACACAAGGTCGGGCCAAGACACACCCAGGGTAGGGGGGGCGGGCTGCTGTCCAGGCTGAGGGAAGAGGTATCGGCCGAGTGGTCGCGTAGCGTGAGTGGTGTGAACTATTTGCAACTGGATCTCATCCTTCAGCGACACGTTGAGCATAACGCAAGCCGAAGGAGGAAACGATGGAACAAAAACAATACACTGTACACGCTAGCTCGTGACCCGCCAGCCCCCTGGACTCCTCGCCTCCTTCCCCGTGGCTGGCTTCTCTTTCCGACTCGCTCTCTGACACTCCCGGGGCCCTGCGCCGGCTGCAGAGGTCAGACTGGCCGTCCCTCCATCTGCTCCACGCCGCAAGAGCTCTGGGGATAGGGCGGCGAAATCTACACATATCCACGCCACGCCCTCCTGGCTTGGCCAGGAGGGCGTATACACAGCTCCTGGATTCAGGATGGGCCTGGCCAAAAAACAGTGGCTGAGCAGGGACCGACCGTCCCGTCATTCCTGTAGGCCTACCACGACATGTTCTTAGAACCCGAACATGCTTCAATATCACAAACAATGTTCTTAGAACATAAGCCCGATGTGTTAGAGCAAGACGGTCTCAGCCAGAAATGGTCTAAAGAACATCTCGTGCCGAGCACAAGAGGTTCTTAGAACATTCTTTGGTGGGCCTACAGTCGAGCCAGGACGCTTGGCCACTGCTTGAAGTGGATACGTATAGATTTCGTCGCCCGGTGGGGAGGGGACGCGGTGCCGTCTCCTGGCTGCACGCACGAGGTGGTGGCGCGAGGGGGACGGCCTTCCGAAGCAACGGGGGGGGGGGAAGCGTTCTGCGAGGACGGGCGGCCTCTTGGAGGCCCTCCCGGCTGCCAAGAGGAGGCCTCGCGGAAGCCTCCAGGGACTTCTGCGAAGAAGCAGGCCCCTGCATTCGGAGACGCCCCTCCCGCCTGCTCAGAAGGCCGCCCCCCTCACGCCACCCCCATGGGGAGGGGGGGCAGAAACAGCATCGACCACACGCCGCCGATCACACGCAGCCTGTCACTGCAAGGGCGGCGAGGAGGCGCCGCCAAGGGGGTCCAGCGCCGATTCGAGACACCCGCGCAAATCTTCGCCCCGTGTCCGCGCCGCCAAGGCCGATGATCCTCAGAACGTGTGTTGGCGCCTTGCCACAAGCTACGTGCTGCCGACGGAGCCGAAAGGGGTGACAGGCACAGTGGCTGGCGGCGCGCACGGGCGGGTGGGTAGGGGGAGTAAGAACGACCTCGATCTTTGAGGTTAAAAACCACCTGTTCGATGGCTTGGGATCCTCTGGGTCGGGCGCCGCGGCCTTATCAGAGCGTTCCAGATCGGGGATCTACTGACCCGGGTCAAACCGGACCCGGGTCAGTCAGGCGTTGCAAGATCCTGCAAGATCTTGCGGCCCTCCGACACTATGTGTTCGGGCCGCCATCTGGGAGGCATGAGATGATCCCTTCTGCGACACGCTGGGCCGTCGCGAGCGTCACAGCCCGGTCTCGCTCTTGCCTTCTTGCCAATTGGCCGGAGTGTCCCCCTCTGCCCCCTCCTTCTGCCCTCCCACTACCTCTGCCCCCCATCCCCAGAAACACGAGCAAGAATGGGCTGGGAAGGAGGGGTGGGGCGAGGGGTGGAGAGGGGCGTGGAGAGGGCAGGGTGGAGCGAAGGACCACGGAGGCAGGTCTGAACCCAAACGGTGTTCTTCGTTTTCGTTTTGTCTTCGCTTTCCCTCGTTTTGTCTTTGGCCCGCCTTTACCGCAGAACGAGGTCGAAACGAAAACGGCCCACGAGATCGCCAAAACGCCGTCTGGGTGCAGCCCTGCGGAGAGGGAGGAGCGAGGGAGGCGGGAGCGGGGATGGGCCGAGGAGGGGAGGAACTGCTGCCGCTGGGGTGGCCAGGGCGCGAGGGCGGCGCAGGCGCGGGGGCGCCGCAGCGAGCGACGCTCTGCAGAGGGCGGCGGCCGGCGCCTCCCCGCGTGCGACGCGTAGAGGCCCTGGAGCTGCAGCGGCGCGAAGAGGCCCGCCACGATCAGGGACACCGACGGCAGCGCCTCGGAGCGCAGGGCGCTCGCCTGCGGCAGCGCCTCCTGCACGAGCGAGGTGAGGTCCTGCACGCCCATGCTGAGCTCCTCCTGCACCACCTCGAGGCAGGGATGCCAAGAGGGAGGACCCGGGCGGACACGATCAGAGCACATCTTGTGTTGTCCGCGACCACGCCCGTAGCCGGCCCTGCCTCCCCCCTCCCGCCCTGGTCACATCACGATTCGCGCCAGCGCCGTCTGGGAAGGAGCCATTCTCAGGCGTTCCCAGGCGGCGCCAGCACGAATCGTGACGTTAGCGCCCCCCCCCCCCCTCCCCTGCCTCCCCTCTCCACCCCTGGGTCACGCCCGTTATCGCAAGGGGATGAGAAGTGGTTTCCTGGCGAAGGGGAATCGGCGATACATCGCAGATAGGCCACCGACAGCGAAACAACACGTTCCTGGGCGGGCATGGGGCGCAAGCACCGATTGGCGACGAACGGGCGATTCGGGATCGGTGCTCCACCCCCCATGGGCGAATCCACCCCTTCCTTTGCCCCTGACCTGCGGCACCCGAGTGCGGATGGACTCCACGCGCTGCTCCACGCTCTGCTGGACACGCTGGCCTTGAATGACCTGAGACGGACGGGCGAATAACGGTGCCGAACGTCAACTTTTCCGCCACCTGGGGACGCCCCAGCCAACAGTGCAATCGCAGGGGTGTATAAACTCCCCAGCCGCCCTGCGACAGGCGCCCTAGGTGGCAAAAAGAGCCGATCCTGTCTGCACCGATCTTCCCTCAGGGGAGGCCAACTTCAAAGGGAATGCACCTAAACGGAGGCCGAGCACTCCGCGCGGACTTACTCCGCACTGACTTAGCATCCTACCAGGAGAGACGGAGTCCAAACGGAGTGAGCTTAGACGGAGACCGAGCACTCCGTACGCACGAACTCCGCACGGACTTAGCATCCTCCGATTCTCGTCCGCTGGCTGACCGCGGGCATCACCCTCTCGTAGATCAGGGCCAGCCCCGCGTGCGCCTGCAGATCCGCAGCCCGGGCCGCGTCCACCGCACGGTGTTCGGCCAGCTCCCCGTCGGTTGGCTCGCCCGCGCCCGCTGCGGCGGCAGCCGGCGCCTATTGAGCAGGGACTGGCCGTCCCGACATGCCTGTAGGTCAACCACGGTGTGTTCTGAGAACAGAAGACTGGTCAACAACCCAAAACATTTCTTAGAGCATGAATCCGACGTATGACATCACGACCGCCTCAACCAGGAATGACAACTCGCGCAGACCACACAAGGTTCTTAGAGCATTTTTTGGTGGACTTATAGGCCGGTCAGGACGCTTCACCACTGCATGAGTGAAAGGCCACAACAAGGGGGAACCAACTCAGGCGGGAAGCATCGAGCTGGAACCGATACATCGCCGATAGATCGGCGATAGGCCCTCGATGGCAAATCCGCACGTTCCTGGGCGGGTTGGGGATATCGGGCCCCCATCGGCGATGAATGGGCGATTAAGGTCGATACGTCCCCTCTTGAGCCTGTCTCCCCTCTGTCGTTGCCGCTGAAGTCAGGACGCCTCTCGGAGCAGGGCGGTGTGGGAGTTCCAACTCGGTCCCCAGACCCCCCTCGGGCCCGAACACACCAGCTTCCCGCGCTGCGTCTGGCCGTGGCGACGGGGGGGCCACCCCGAGGGCCAACGATACCAGTGTCTCAAGCGGCCCTCCTCTGATAGAGGCCTTGTGGATGGGGTCGGAATAAATGGGGTCCGAAGATCGCGCCGCGGCGTCAATGCATTGCCGATGCATCACCAATGCATCGGCGATGCATCGGCGACGTCGGCGACGCGTTGGCGCCGTCGGCGTGGGGAAACACGGTCTCTACATCGAGCCGCATCGTCGATGTATCGGCGATGCGGCGCGGTCCTCCGACCCGATCTCGGAGGCCTAGATTTGAGCTTCGCCACGGCTGATGATGATGTTAATGCTGATGATGTTGATGATGAGGACGATGATGATGATGACGATGACGATGATGATGAAGATGAAGATGAAGATGAAGATGAAGATGAAGATGAAGATGAATATGAAAATGAAGATGAAGATGATGATGATGATGATGATGATGATGATGATGATGATGATGATGATGATGATGATGATGATGATGATGATGATGATGATGCCGATGATGCCGATGATGATGATGTCCGCGGCAGGCGCCTCCGCGGCGGCGCCTCCGCCCGCAGCGGCTGGAACCTCCGCGGCAGCGGGGCCCGCGGCCGCGGCCGGCAGCGCGGCGACATCGGCAGGACCACCCGCGGCGCCTTCGGCCGGCGGGCCCGCGGCCGCGGCCGGGCGCGGGCGCCCCGCGGCGAGCGCGAGCGCGCCGCCGGCGACGAGCGCGCCACCCACCTCGGTCGAGGCAGCGAGGTCCCAACTGGATCGCCATGTTCCTGTCCTCCTCCTCCTCCTCCTCCTCCTCCTCCTCCTCCTCCTCCTCCTCCTCCTCCTCCTCCTCCTCCTATTCCTCCTCCGCCTCCTCCTCCTCCACCTTTTCCTCCTCCTCCTCCTCCTCTTCCTCCTCCTCCTCCTCCTCCTCCTCCTCCTCCTCCTCCTCCTCCTCCTCCTCCTCATCCTGTTCCTGCTCCTCCTCCTCCTGCTCCTCCTCTTCCTCCTCCTCCTCCTCCTCCTCCTCCTCCTCCTCCTTCTCGTTTTCCTCCGCCACCCCCACCTCTTCCTCCTCCTCCTCCTCCTCCTCCTCCTCTTCCTCCTCCTCCTCCTCCTCTTCCTCCTCCTCCTACCCGAGGGGCCTCCCAAAAACCCGCGGAACCGGCGATGGTCGCGCAATTCGCAACCCCACCAGGGAGCCGCGAGATCCCAACTGTATCCGCCCCGTGCCCCCCAACTCCGCCGGACATCCCAAGAACCCACGAAAGTGGGGGCGGTTGCGCACTTCGCAGCCCAACCGGGGAACTGCGCGGTCTCAGCTGGATCCCCGTGTCCCCCAAATCCGCGGGACCTCCCAGGAGCCAACGGAAGTGGCGACGGTTGCGGACTTCGCGACCTCCCTAGGAACCGCGAGGTCTCAACTGGATCCCCGCGTCCCCCACACTCCGCGGGACCTCCCAGGACGGTGCGCACAGGGCGACGAACGCGCATTTCGCAACGCCCCAAGGAGCCGCGAGGTCCCAACTGGATCGTCGCGCCCCCCACTCCGCGGACCCCCCCAAGATCCCGCGGAACAATTGCGCACTTCGCGACCCCACCAGGGAGCCGCGAAGTCTCGCGACGCCAGATGGCCTCAGACAGCTGGGGATCATGACGTCAATATGAGAAAACAAAAAACTGTCCGAAATAACTCGGAGTAACTTTTGCTTAGCTTCCGTAGCGACGGGAATGCGCGCGCACGTGCGATGGGCGATGTCGAACCCGCGGCGGCGACGCGCCGAATCGAACCGCGGCCCCCGCGCGCCAGTAAATCAACAAGGGGTGCGCGCGGGTCCTGCGCGCGACGCCACGGCGATGGTCGCGGCGCGGTTTAGCACGCAACGCACCCCAATGCCTCTTCCACCTTTCCCTCCTCAGCCCCTTCCGCCAGCCTTCCCCTTCCTCGTCTCGGTCCCTCCTCCTCCTCCTCCTCCTCCTCCTCCTCCTCCTCCGCCCTACTCCTCCTCCTCCTCCCCTCCTCCTCCTCCTCCTCCTACTACTACTCTACTACTACTAATACGACTACTACTACTACTACTACTGACTACTACTACTACTGCTACTACTACTACTACTACTACTACTACTGCTACTACTACTACTACTTACTAACTACTACTACTACGACAACTAACTACTACTACTACTACTACGACTACTATTACTACTCTAATACCTTACTACTACTACTACTAACTCCCACTACTACTACTACTACGACTACTACTACTACTACTATACTCTACACTACGACGACGACGACGAACGACGACGACGACGACGATACGATACTACTACTAGTAACGGCTACTACTACGGCCTGTTTTCCAGACTACTACGACTACTACTACTACTACTACTACTACTACTACTAGTACTACTACTACTAATACTACTACTACTACTACCGCTACTACACTACTACACTACTGTACTGCTACTACTACTAACTACTACTACTATACTAGTACTACTACTACTACTAACTACTACTACTCTAACTAAACTAATACTACTGACTACTACTACTACTCCTACTGAAATACTTTCTGCTACTAACTACTACTACTATGCTACTACTACTACTACTACTACTACTACTACTACTACTACTACTACTACTACTACTACTGACTATACCACTACTACTAACTACTACTACTACTACTACTACTACTACTACTACTACGACGACGACGACGACGACGAACGACGACGACGACGACGACGACGACGACGACGACGACGACGACGACGACGACGACGACGACGACGACGACGACGACGACGACTACTACTACTACTACTACTACTACTACTACTACTACTAGGGTCAAACCTCACCTTCGCGTCTACTAAGAATGAATGGGTAAGGGTAAGGGTAAGGGTAAGGGTAAGGGTAAGGGTAAGGGTAAGGGTAAGGGTAAGGGTAAGGGTAAGGATAAGGGTTCGGTTCCACACAATCAGTTAAAACCACATAGAATAACATAGAATAGTAGGAGCTTAATCGTACACGAAGCAGGAGTTCGGAAACCCACAATTTCGCCATTCGCTACTAAGAAACAGTACAGGGGCTATAGAGCTCTAGTAGTACACGAAGATGAGGTTCGGAAGCCCACTGATTCTAATAGTACACGAAGAAGGGGTTCGGAAACCCACAATTTCGCCGTTCGCTCGTAAGAAAACAATATAGGGGCGATACAACCATTGGCACACGAAGGTGAGGTTCGCAAACCCATTGTGGAACACGAAATAACAGCGTTCCTCTTTTCCTGCTCGCTTTCCTCTTCCTCATCCTCCTCCTCCCCCTCCTCCTCCTCCTCCCCCTTTTCCTCCTCCTCCTCCTCCTCCCCCTCCATCTCCTCCTGCCCGTCCCCCACCTCCTCCTTCTCCTCCTCTTCCTCGTCCTCCTCCTCTCCTCCTCCTCCTCCCCCGTCCTCCTCCTCCTCCTCTTCCTCCTCCTCCTCCTCTCCTCCTCCTCCTCCTCCTCCTCCCTCTCTTCCTCCTCCTCCCACCTCCCCCTCCTCCTCCCACCTCCCCCTCCCGCCTCACCCTCCTCCTCCTCCTCCTCCTCCTCCTCCTCCTCCTCGCCTCCTCATCCTCCTCCTCCTCCTCCTCCTCCTCCTCCTCCTCCTCCTCCTCCTCCTCTCCTCCCCTCCTCCGTCTCTCCTCTCCTCCTCCTCCTCCCTCCTCCTCCTCCTCCTTCTCCTCCTCTTCCTCCTCCTCTCCTCCTCTCTCCCTTTTTTTTTCCCTTCCTCCTCCTCCTCCTCCTCTCCTCCTCCTCCTCCTCCTCCTCTCCTCCTCCTCCTCCTCCTCCTCCTCCTCCTACGCTCCTCCTCCTCTCATCCTCCTCCTCCACCCCCCCTTCCCCTCCTCCTCCTCCTCATCCTCCCTCTCCTTTTTTTCCCTCCTCCTCCTCCCTCTCCTACTCCTCCTCCTCCTCCTCCTCCACCTCCTCCACTCCTCCTCATCCTCCTCCTCCTCCCATCTCCTCCTCCTCATCCTCCTCCTCCTCTCCCCCTCCTCCTCATCCTCCTACTCCTCCTCCTCCTCCTCCTCCTCTCCTCCTCCTCCTCCTCTCCTCCTCCTCCTCCTCCTCCTCAATCCTCCTCCCTCCTCCTCCCTCCCTCCCCCCTCCCTCCCTCCCTCCTCCTCCCTCCCTCCCCCTCCCTCCCCCCCTCCTCCCTCCTCCCTCCTCCCTCCCTCCCTCCCCTCCTCCCTCCTCCCTCCTCCCCCTCTCCCCCTCCTCCTCCTGCTCCTCCCCCTCCTCCTCCTGCTCC